GCGCCGCACCCTGTTACGTTGGGTCCCGCAGTACTCCCGTGGGAGTGCAGGTCTCTTTACTACAGTTCAAACACCACTACAAACACTGTTCACTGCTGATCTGGTTAGCCAAATAATCCCTTCCCACCCACACACAACGAATGTACCTGGAACGGCGCCTATCTCCATGCCTTCCTGAATCGGCTGCCGTCTCTTCATCCTGCTCATCTTTTTGCGGGGGTTTACGTGGTCGGTTCTTCATGTGCTGGTCGATTGCTTTCTGCACAGGAACAGGTATTCGTGGAAACAACGTTGAGAACCATTCCAGCTTGGTCAGGAAAGAGCGGAGCATCTCTCCAATCGTCATTACGCACCCTCCTCCAGCCTTCACGTCCAACTCCTGATCACAGAGACAAAGGAGCAAAACCATTAACACTACAATCACAAACACACAAACACACTCAGACACATTAAAAGATATCGCACAACCTCTGGTATACATGTTAACGCTAATAATTAGATCGTACACCTAAATAAAATGCTTCATTTGTGATGACCAAACACTGAGCCTTCACCTCTGCTCTCACCTGACTTAATATTCAGTATTGACAGGTGCACCAAGTAATTTTGTTTGTTTCATTGGCCATCATCTTAGACTTTATAATAACAAATAATCAGCATGGATACAAAAGCAATACCATTGTATAAATACTTTTATCACTAGCTAAAAAAAGGTGCTATTTCATAATAGACCTTTAGTGCACCTTTAATATAAGTGGGATCGTTAGGAAGTAACAGAGTTACATTTCCTGTCTTTCTGCTTTATTTTTTATAGAAAATACAGTTTATTATATTAATTTTCAACAGATCTGCATGACTGAGCATCAAAATAATTTGCTTCCACAATGTCTCTTACTATGCAATGGCTCAACATAGGTGCGATGCAGAGGAGGTTGTAGGTCAGCTGACATATATATGCTGTACCGGTGCGTGTGAAGGGGTGGAGTGGGTAGGTGAGCTTGTCTAACTGCACTCACGAATACCAGTCAAGTGTGGGGAGCACACCCTATATCCAATCCACCCGCATCACAAGGGCAATCTGGGAGAGAGAACAGGGCAGTGAGCCAGAGACACACATAACCACCACCACCACCAGGCCTGGCAGCAATGTCTGCTCAATGCAAATTAGATCTCTTTTCTGGGCTATTTTTAAAATGGATAATATATTACCAACTATTGAGATTATCACTCTATTGAGAGTGGGCGTGCAGGAGCCCAAAACATGAGTCAGCAGCCAGTAATGGATGTCTGATATTTACGATCAAATATAAATGTCTCTATGAATCACGGAGGCATACTGCCATATACACAACGTATCTGGGCTAAAAGAATATTGCATGCAATTTACATTTAACCACAGAGGAATCACCATGGAACTACATATCTAGCTCAAATGACCATTTGCTAAGTGTTTGTGCTGATCTCAGAACAGACATGGCATACCCAGTGAAAGTAAGAAACCAGTTATCTGATGTCTTGGGTAAACTTGCCACCACAAATACAGCTGTAACTGTCAAATCTCAAGAGGAACATTAAGTTAAATGAGGTCAAAGGTTGAAGGACAGCTATGTGCATCACAATCAGCATTTGGCCTAAAAAGCTTTCTGGTTAAAACTTGGTACATTATAAATAAGAGAGATGAAGTCATTACCCGTGGTGACATACCTCCTCATCGTCAAGGAACTCATCATACCAATCAACCAAGTCAGGCGGAGGCTGAGTATACCTACAATACACAGATTCGACATTATAAATGAGTATTCATCGAGACCAGAAAATAAGAACCATCCAAACAAACAAACAATGTGGCTTGAGCTATGTACTTATGAAATTACCATCTTATATACAGCAGTTTGGGTAATTCTGCTCTACATATTCATATTCCTTTGCTAAAATCAATGCTAGAATTTGATTATTCAAAGTAGTTCACCCACATGAACCTCCATGGTAGTGTTAAATAACAAAACATGAAGTTACTTCTGAAACAGTTACCAAAAAACCCCCCAGCTCAGTTCATGTTAAGTGTTCTACGTCATACCTGATGTACATGAAGCCCAGTGATCTGATATAGGGCGAATCTGTGTGAGTGATGAGACCCATCACTTGTTTGCGGGTCAGTTTCAGTGTAAATAGCTTATACAGCAAGCAAAATGCAGTGGACACAATCCCACCTGTCCCGACTCCTCGAACCTGCAAGACAAACATCATGAAACTTGAAGCTAAACTTATGTTCTGCTTTAGTGAATCTCTCCCTTGTATTAATCAAAGTGGCAAAGATTACGGGAGGATGAAGTCGAGTAGGTCTCAAGGCACGTACTTCTACTTACCCCTCCGCACATTCCTGTCTGCCCCGCAGTCTTCCTGCTGCCTTTTTCCCATGGCTCCATATGATTGACCTGAGTAGGAAACAGGTCACAATCTGACACCAAGCAACTGACTATAGGAGAAATACAACTATAAATCCCAAGTTTACATGTATTCAAACCTGGATTCCAAAACTGTTAGCCTAATATTCTAGTACTCATAACGAATACTTTAAAATAATAATAGTGGAAAAATCATTATAATGGAAAACGATTTTAGTCTTTCGAATTTAGTTTGTTTTGCAACAGTGCTGGCTAACAGAAAATTACTATAGTTTTGGTAGTCACAATAAAAAACCGTTCACACCAAAGACTATTAATTTTAATAATAGTTCTAATTCTATGAGAATAGGGAAGCCTACACCACAGCTGTAACGACACAGAGGAACGGTACCATTAGAATCACTTCCAGAACGATTATTTCTCTAGCTGATAACGATAAAACATTTACCAATCAGAATATTCTCGAGCATTTCAAGCGACAGACTACATACCTGCATCATGCGATTATAATAATAAAAAATTACCGTCCGTTGGTGTAAACTCTAATAAAGCTACTGTTATATGTATCTTGGTGTGAACGGGACGGTTGCTATGTTGATTTTCTGTCATTTTCTCGCGTTTAAGATCTTAGGGACTCAGTCACTATTCACTTTCGTTGAATGTTTTTCCGTCCAATTAAAGTAAATGGTGACTGAAGATATCATTCTGTCTATAGAGTAACGTTACACCTTATGTATCCTACTAAAGAAATTCAATAATTCTGGTTTGGAATAACATTTCAGTGAGTTAATGATGACAAGGGTTTCATTTTTGAGTTAACTAACCATTCTTATAGGTATATTTTGAGTTAAGTTAGCACAATTAGCCTCAATGGCCTAACACGGTCTACTGCAGCTCACGTAATACTAAATTAAAAGCAAATTACATTTATTTAACAACTATTTAAGCCTGATAGAAGCAATAACAAACCATGAGCAATACTCAATGCCAATGTAATACAAAAAAGAAAACCGCGGGCTTCACGCTCGTCGGCCCGGGTTAATTTCGCCACCTTGAAGTATATTTCGTCCACCACCTCGTGGTACGTTTTGAGCTCGTACAGCTGGACCTTGAAGTAGGGCGAAGACAGGACGTTTGTCAGGATCATCGGGTTGAGGTTCATAGTCTTCTCGTTGCCCCATAACGGCAAAACGTTGCCGTGTTTCCCGCCGGCCGGTTTGCTCACGGCCTGCTGCTGTTGTTGCTGCTGACTAACCGCCATGGCAGTTCCTTCACAACGCCATTAAATTACAAAACGAAAGAAAACGATAGTTGACCTTAACGAATATCACGGCAACGCCTTCAACGAGTTGCGCGAGTGGCGGACCGACGTCTCTTAATTCATTCGAATTGGATTTTGGATCGTTTTGACCAAGTCTCTGTGGTGTTAGAAGACGCACGCTAACCGTGGGTTGTGGGGACAAGATGGCGCACGGAAGAGGGGCGGCGGAAAGGGACGCAAGGCTGGGGGTTGCCAAGTTGTCATAGAAAATGCTTATTTTCACCAGAAAGAGGAAAATAACGGAAATCCTATAAAAAAATGCATTTACAAATCATCTATAACCATTGTTTTTAAAAGCATTAATAAAAAAAAAATCTATGAATTCTATGGAAATAAAAACAATGGGGTTCGTCTACTCATCTGGGTGGCGAAAAGTTAAACACTAACTGCATTTCCTAGGAAGATGCTTTACAAAGTACTTGGCAACACGGTCCTCCAGCGTGGTTTGATATGTCTTGTACCTGACTGCAGATGTCTTGCTGAGTCCATATAAATATTGTTGAAGGCACTTCAATTTTTCCATGTGCTCTTGGTGTTGTGTTGCGGTAATGCTCTAAACTTATTTTAAGGCTAAGGCTGCATGTTTGTAAGATGTTTATTGTGATTATAGTACATATATTCTAACTTAATATTAAAAAAATCATATAAATGTAAATTGTGCATCACCAGCTCAATTATAACAACATTTATTTCAGATGGGCAAAGACAACTACCCAGTATGGCAACAAATCAAAACTACAGAACGAGATATTTTAATTATATAACAGTTTTATTTTTTTAAACAAAATCTCTAATGTATTCTTAAAATGTAATATATTACAGTGAAGTGCATATATTGCATTTTGTCTTAAAGTATTCAGGTATATACTTCATGACATGTATGTTTTGAAACATCAGATATATCATAAATCTTTATTTCTTTTACTCCTTTAGTTTTTCTGTAGTTTGACAATTGTCACTATTAGAAAGCCTGAACACATAAATTAATGTTTTTTCCTTGTATACATTCTTAAAAATATTACAGTTTTGTAATATACAATATGAAATCTGATAAAACAGCCCTTTTTATTAGCCTTTAAAATTGGCATGTTCTTTCAAACTAATTTTTGCAGTAATAAATTGTATAAAATCTCCCTCATTTAGAAACCCTTTTCCAAAAAAAAAAAAAAACATTACATGGATCCTGAATGGCTCAGGTCTTCAGCATTTTTCCTGAAAAAGAATGCCTGTAAATAGAATTTGGATTATGCCATTTTAACAAACAGTCCACTATTTGCAGTGTCTATCCCTGTGCAATTTGTGGTTGAGTCTTGTTTATGCTGACAAAAAGGTGCACTAACTGGGATCTTAGAAAACTCACTAGTTTGAGGGTCACTTCGACCGGGTGTTGAAGCAACAGCCACCTACGGTACAGACCATCTGTCACCTGTTTACTGTATATTTATACAGTTTTCTTTTAAATCTATTGTCACTATTAGAAAGCCTGAACACATAAATTAATGTTTTTTCCTTATATACATTCTTAAAAATATTACAGTTTTGTAATATACAATATGAAATCTGATAAAACAGCCCTTTTTATTAGCCTTTAAAATTGGCATGTTCTTTCAAACTAATTTTTGCAGTAATAAATTGTATAAAATCTCCCTCATTTAGAAACCCTTTTCCAAAAAAAAAAAAAAAAACATTACATGGATCCTGAATGGCTCAGGTCTTCAGCATTTTTCCTGAAAAAGAATGCCTGTAAATAGAATTTGGATTATGCCATTTTAACAAACAGTCCACTATTTGCAGTGTCCATCCCTGTGCAATTTGTGGTTGAGTCTTGTTTATGCTGACAAAAAGGTGCACTAACTGGGATCTTAGAAAACTCACTAGTTTGAGGGTCACTTCGACCGGGTGTTGAAGCAACAGCCACCTACGGTACAGACCATCTGTCACCTGTTTACTGTATATTTATACAGTTTTCTTTTAAATCAACACATTTGTAACAATTAGACTACCTCTATGGCCTCACAAAATGACAAAATATGAGTTCACGTTGTCCACTTGAAATCAATGGTATACGTTAAATTAGTATGATTGGTACTTGATCCCCCCCCCCCTCAAATTAGCAGCATCCAACCAAGTAAACATCAGACAATCCAAAGTGCATCAGTCCATGTCAGTGGATTTAAATTTCTATATTAAAAATAGTCCTTAATCTGTAACACGCCTTTTCAGTTCCACCAGTGGTTCCAAGCATGTTTTTTTTAAATGTCTGTGAGAACTATAACCATCTATTTTTGGTAAAATAATACCAATCCAAGTATTTCCTGTTACTTTGAGCTAAAGCAAAGCTTCTGTCTGTCTTCAGAGCTTTACCACTAGGGGGAGCAGTGATTCCACAAATTCCTAGAGCCCATGAATGTATCAGGAGCCCAGCATAGAACTGCTGCTTGTGATAGAAGACAACTGCTGTCCTCTCGTTTGACACAGGATATTACATCACCTTCCCCCACGGACATTCAGTCTAGCGTTTTATAACCACCTGTTCAAAAGCCCCTGCACCAACCCTGAATGATGGAAAGAGAGACAGTAGCCATTACATTTCATTACATTACCACAGTCTGCAATTTTATGATATTGTCAGAGCTCATGTAACATAATACCTCCCTATAATCTGCTTCTCATAAAGCAAAGCACAATGACCATGTATCACACAAGGACGGCATAAGCAGAGAATGCCTGTTGCAGTGGTGACCTTGCGGCAGGGAAATTTACATAATGTATCTCACCTGGTGTGCTGAGAGCCCAGTGCAGTGCTGCCTCCTGGCCCAACAAACAGTCGCAGACCCTCCTCTGCAACAATAGCAAAAAAATCCCTAATACTTGCATTCATATTTAGGGGCCATGATTTCATATATATAACTTCCAGAAGAAAACATGATGCATTAAGCATCAGGAGGTGAAAACTTTTTGAATTTGAAGATCTGGGAAACATGTAAGTATCTTCTGTAGCTTCTGAAAGGCAGTATTAAGTTTAAAAAAAATATGATATTAATGCAAAATAAGAAAAATGTACACATCTTCATTCCGTTCAAAAGTTTACACCGCTGGCTCTTAATGCATAATTTTTCCTTCTGGAGCATCAGTGAGCGTTTGAACCTTTTGTAATAGTTGTGTACGAGTCCCTCAGTTGTCCTCGGTGTGAAAAGATGGATCTCAAAATCATACAGTCATTGTTGGAAAGGGTTAAAATACGCAAAAGATGCTGGAAAACCAAAGAATTTGTGGGACCTGAAGGATTTTTCTGAAGAACAGCGGGCAGTTTAACTGTTCAGGACAAACAAGGGACTCATGAACAACTATCACACAAAAAATAAATAAATAAAAAAAAACAGCTGTGGATCATCCAGGTAACAACACAGTATTAAGAATCAAGCATATGTAAACTGTTGAATGGGGTCATTTTTAAAAATTCAACTATTATGTGGACTATATGTAAATGTCTTTTATGTGAAATATCTTAGGTCAGTACTAAATAAAAAATAAAATGCATTTTGTATGATCCTTCTTATTTTGGTAAAATAATTAACATTTTGCAGATACTGTGAAGTGTATGTAAAATTTTGACAACAACTGTACACACAGACACTCAGACACACACTACCCTTCAAAAGTTTGGGGTTAGTATATAGAAAACTGTTATTTTAAATTGAAATAATATTTCACAGTATTACTGTTTCTACTCTATTTTTGATCAAATAAATGCAGCCTTGATCCACATAAGAGACTTCTTAAAAACAACAACAACAACCCCCCCCCCTCAAACGTTTTAACTGTCTTGCATATACAGCTCTGGTTCCAAAGGAAAAGATGTTGTGGTAACTGCAAGTTTAAGGTTGCTCTCTCTGAAGTCTATCCATGAGTCAGAAAGAGAGAGAAAAGGGGAAATTCAACCATCTGTTTGTTTGAGACGGTAGTAGTAACCATAGTAAACATTCATCTTACAAAGCCACAATGTGGTGCGTATTAAAGTGCAACTGTGCATCTGCAGTAAAACACAACTCTGAATTTCCCTATCCAGAGTTTGTGTCTAGTGAATGCATTGGGCACTACTATGGGGCAGTGGAAGGTCTGTGTGAGCTGGTCATACACGAAATGTTTCCGTGTGTGCGTCTGTTGGCTGTTGACCACAGCCTGGTGTTATGGGGATGGAAATGATGTTTAAATTTAAACATGTTTTCAGGGAGGATGCTATTCAAATTATACTTGTATCACTTGTAGTACTTGTGCACCTTTCCTTGCCATGTCACAATGCAAGATTTTTTAAAACAAACTATAGCATTTTATTTTTTCCCTAAATCCACTTAAAATGTTAAGCCAATTTGTTTGTACCACAAGCAATTATAATTTAGTTTTCCATTTTTCATCCTCCCCTTGACCCTTAGAAATTAACAGGCTGTTTTGCTACTGTATACAGTAAAACATTTAGTCAGCTTTGACGAAATTATTCAAAACATTTATAATGTTAAAAAAGATTTGTTTTTTGAACTTTCTATTCATCAAAGAATCCTAAAAATCACAGTTTCCACAAAAATATTCAGCAGCACAACTGTTTTCATCATTGATGATAATAAGAAATGTTTCTTGAGCAGCAAGTCAACATATTAGAATGATTTTTGAAGGATCATGTGACACTAAAGACTGGAGTAATGATGCTGAAAATTCAGCTTTGCATCACAGGAATAAATTACATTTTAAAATATATTCAAATAAAAAAAAAGAAGCTATTTTAAATTGTAATAATATTTCACTGTTTTTACTGGATCTTTGATCCAATAAATGCAGCCATGGTGAGTATAAGAGACTTCTTTCAAAAATATTAAAAAATCTTTACAAACCCAAACCTTTGAACAACAGTGTATGTCTTCATAATGCATCAAACTCTGCTATGTTAAGTGACGGGGTAAAATCCGTTTTTACATGATATGGCTTTTTAACAGGATTTTTAAACATCTGGACTGTAAATGCTACATGCATCAAAGTGCTTTCTAATAGTACCTTCATTACTAGAGTCCAGTATGCTGCGGCTGAAGTCTTGACCCTGTAGGATTGTCTCAATGATATCATCAGCATCCACTCTGGTAGCATCCATTCGCTTTAGCTGAGACTCAACCGAGTCCTGTTTTACAGGGTGCCTGAAATACAAACATATAGTTTGTCAATAACTTCACTCAAAGATTTTTCTAAGAACACATTTTGCAGGAAGAGCTAATGCACACACGTTTACCTGTTGGCTGTGATCCCACTGTGGGACGGTGTGGCTAAGTGCTGGGGTAAAGGTGTGCGAGACTCTCTGTCCTCACTGGGCTCTGGTAGGCTGCCAATCCCAGTGGAGGCACTGCCCACAGA